TTACCAATTTTTGTTGCAACATTTTTACTATACGGGGGATTATACCAAATAATGTTTCGTTTGTGATTCTTGTTTTTAGTGGGAACTATATCTGACTGATATTTGAGCTTGGATGAAAAACCCGATTTTATTAATGCATCCTGATAAGGAGAAACAGCTTTTTCAAAAAATTTTTTGTTTGAAGATGCAGTAGACAATCTTAGTTCAATTGTTCGCGGTATACTTTTTAATATGCATGGAGGGTGGTTAGAGTCGGCGTGAATATAATTAAGAGTGTTATCGGGCTTTGAGTAAGGTTGAAAGGTACTGCTGTTAAGATTTAGTGTTAAGTCGAGGTAATTGACAATTTTAAAATTACAGCTAATAGATAAATGGAGACCATTGCTTTTAAAAATTTTAACAAAATGTTTCTTTATTTTTTCCATTTATTGGCCACTATGATTTTTAAATATAGCTAGACCGTCATCTCAGTATAAACCTAATTCCTTCCCGTTGTAATATTGAGATAGTTGGTACAAGATAAAAATTCCCACTAATTTGCATACTTCTGCACCATCATAAGCACCCATAGTTACATCAAATAATTCTCCGTTTTTTTTAATCCAAGAATCGCCATTGGTAAAGATTAAAGATTTTCTCGCGTGCATAATAAATATGTAAATTTCCTATCTTCTTGATTTATAACTAGGTGCTGCCCAGCAAACTCTATTGCGTCGCTAAGTAGCTTTACATTAATCGATGAGTAAAAGTCAGTTCTATCGAAAATTAAAAATGTGTATGCCGAACTACTCGTGTATGCCGAACGTTAAATCAGTCATTAATTCGCATAATCAAAATATTTTATACAATCATGAAAAAACAACAACAAAAACTTGCAACTGCATCAATAAATCTACCTGCGTTATGAACAACCAGTGTCTAAGTAAGAACATTGTGTATCAAGCTACTGTTTCATCCAATAAACCAGATTACACAGATAAAATTTATATTGGTATTAGCGAGACCCCTTTCAAGTTAAGGTATGCAAACCATTTAAAATCTTTTAATTTAATTAAGTACAGCAATGATACGGAGTTATCTAAAGAAATTTGGAAACCTAAAGAAGAAAACTTTTTGTTTGTTATTAAATGGAAAATTATCAAGCGCTGCCAAACATAATCGTCGTCCAAAATTTGCAATCTTTGTCTTAATGAAAAGTATTTTATTTTAACGCATACAGGGGAAAACCTGTTGAACAAAAGGAACGAGTTGGTTTCAAATTGTAGGCATAAAAATAAATTCCTTCTTTCGTTTTATGATACTGGCGATTAGCTGATTTATATAAGATTTTCTTTGACGTTTTCTTTTTTTGTCTCTATAGAGACGTCAGATGTCGCTCCACTGGATTTTGTAATTTTATTAACGGTTTGTTTGTTTTTGATATAGTACATGGCTGATGATTACCGTATAGGCATGAAACTATTAGTCCCATGAAAAGTTGTTTTTTCTATATGTAAATAAATATATATATATATATATATATATATATATATATATATATATATATATATATATATATATATATATATATATATATATATATATATATATATATATATATATATATATATATATATGTATATATATATATATATATATATATATATATATATATATATATATATATATATATGTGTATATATATATATATATATATATACATATATATATATATATATATATATATATATATATATATATATATATATATATATACATATATATATATATATACATATATATATATATATATATACATATATATATTATACATAAAAGTTGAATAAGGTTGCTAACATATATTAGTTATATATGACCATATTATAACTGTATCAAATATAATAAATAATATAAATATTATTTATTACAGTTGAAAGATTAACAGTTAATCATTAAAAAAAAAAGTCTAGTTTTTACCTAGACTTTTTTAGAAAAAGATGCATGATACAACAAGTAGTAGCATATTGCAATTGTTATTGGAGAGACATTACAACTTTACATTGAAGGCAAATTTATAAATAGTTTAATAAATAGGAAATAATATTAAAAACTTTTATCAATATCTCTACTTTCCATTTTATTTAATCTAAAAAAATTACTGAAAATTTTATTTAATCAAAATCAAATATAAACAATGTTTATTTAAACCCTCTGTCTCCTGCGACCACTTCAGCAAAGTGAAAATTAGGTACCAAAAGTGCAACAAAAAATAGACACCCTGCTACAACTTTTTTTTCAATGAAATTTTCCAGGTGCATAGATAAATAAAAAACTTAAAAAAAAAAATAGTATAGAAAAAAAAAAAAAGCATATCTTCGACATTAATTTCATGCCCAAAGTACAACAAAGTTTTAGACATCAAAAAACTCAATAAAAAAACCATCTAGTAAAATAATAAACCTCACAGTAATAAAGTTTAACTACTCTAGTTTCTAAAAATAATCTATACTAATATCAAATTCTAAAAAGTTTTTTAACTAAACACGTCTTCCCTACGCTAGCTAAAAAAAAATGTTAGTAAATAGTCATAACAGTTAAAACAAATTTTTATATTGAAAAAAAGTTGAAGCAACCACCAGAAAAATATCATAAATATAAAACATATTTATCTAAAGCTTAAAAAAAAATTATTAAAATCCTACAGTCAGATTTTAAGAAAATTGATTTCAAATAAATAAACAATTCTATGATAGCGATTCCACGGCTCAGCGAAAAACATTTGACGTTTGACGAAAAACGCCGATTTTTCATAAACTTTACTCTCTTATATCTTTTTGTAGGGTTAAGCAATCACCTTGAGGTTTTTTGTATCAATTAGTGTTACTCAACCTCTTTCCAGCCATATGTAGAAAGTACTGTGCTTTATATGGCTTCACTTAAATATTATCAATATCCTGAGACCACTTTTGTTAAAAAAACTAGCCGCGGGAACGTTTTTTTAAACGAAGCTTTTTCAGGTAAGGATTCCTAAGTACCAAAACACATCCAATTTGCATGAAATTTTCCATATATATTAAAAAAAGGATGAGAAATTCAATGGAATGTGGACCTTTTTGATATTTGCTCTTATTTGTTTAGTTTTCAGTGTTGTAAAAGTTTGTTGTCAGTTTTTTTGGGAAAAAAAACCTTTTTTCAAAAAGGTCCAGGTGGAAAAGACAAGTATAGCCTTTCCTCTATCCAAATCAAGTATTTATTTATGATTTCTTAATAATTTGATACTTAGGAAATGTATTTATAAATTATGTATATTTGGCTTTTTTTCAATTCGCCGTTTTTTGTTATGATTTTTGCGTTTGTTTTTGTTTATAAAATTTTTTTTGGCATTCGCAACTTAATGGATTTTTTGATGTTTACTTTTCACTTTCTAATCTAAAGCTTATTTATACACTTAAGAAGTAGTTAAATAAAAAAAATATATTTTTGAAAATATGACATAGCTGCTTTATATAGCATAAAACTCTTGCTTTTATTCCTTTCATCATTTTTGTTTTTCAAAATAGAATAAAATTTTCATTCTGAGAATGATATTGAAAGTGAAACTCTTTAGATTTCAAGCTGTTAAAAATGTTTTATTTTGTTTTTTAAAGGTATTTTGTTTGGATTCTTCCACAAAATTGCAAGCTGATTGTGTGTCATTAGTTGTTTTCAAAACAGTGCTTTCAAAATTGTTTTTATTTACCATGCTTTTTGTTGATCTGATTGGGAACGCTTTCTAGCCAAATCAAGTTATTTTTCCAAATTTAAGTTTACTTGCAACAATTGGTTAATCTTACAATCCTTTCTAACATCTCTTTTTTTTTTCTTCTTGGACATTATATTTTGATAAAATCCCTTAATTTTTTCTTTTATGTTCATTACATCTTGTCTATTTTGAAATTCAAGGTGCATAATTCTCTTTTTGTATTTGTTTATTGGATAGGTCAAATCACCAGATAATAAAGGTAGTTGTTGATCGAAATTGGAAACTGGGAAATTCTCTTTATTTACTTGAGTTTCAAGAAAACAATCATCAGAATGACTTTTTAAAGGCTTGTCTATAGTAGAACTTTGAGTAACAGAGCTTGAAAAATCATCATAAGCAGTTTTCAAGTTTAAAGCAGAAAATAAACTTAAAGTAGCAGAAATATCTTCTGGAACAAATTCATTAGAATTTGTTTCAGAAGATGTTTGGCTAGAAGTAAGGATAGAACAATTAACAGAAGATTGCAAATCATCAACTTTGTTAAATCAAGCGAGATTATTTTTTATTTTAAGTATCTGTATTTTCAACAAGGCTTGAAGCAACCATTTTTAGAGTTACTGGAAGACCCAATATGAAGTAAAGTAACATTCCAGTAACTTCCTAAAAAACCATTTTTAGGAAGTTACTGGAAGACCCAAGATGAAGATTATAACGCAAGATAACGATTAACAGATTGCTTAAAAGATTGCAAATTATATGAATCAGGAAAACAAGATGAATGGTTAGTATCACAAAAAACTGATGTTCGAGGAAAAAAAACTATACCAATAAGAATTTTTGGAGCACTTAAAAACAATAAAATACTATATTATTGTATACAAATACTAACTTAGCAATGATTTTTATATAAGGTTTCCATAAGAGGTCAGTACAAAAAGATAGTTAGAGACAATTTAAAGTAGAAGACACAGTAACAATGTTGCCATTTATGAATATAGGAGTATTAACAAGATTGCAAATACTTTTTTAAAACTTCGCCAGATACACCATATTCACCTTGTTAGTTAAGTATTGACACTAGCATGAATTTGCAGCGTTAAGTGCCACAGGTAATGTGTGTTTTGTGATTGTGATGTTATTGTTTTGATTTTTTGTGTTAATAGACAACTTGGCTTACCTTCTCGCTGGTGTCTATCGTTAAAAATGATTATTAGGTTGTTTTGTTACTCAAACTCTCTACCTCTAATCATTCACTAAAAGCCAAGAGATAATTTTTAGAAAAACACCATTTTTTGTTTTAATGTTGTTTTCACTTTTTTATCTTAGTTGTTGTCAATAGTTTACATAAACAATCTCAAAGAGTAAGTTTCTTACTCTATATTTATTTAGTTTTAATTGTTAATTTATAATTATTTTTTATTTTTAAAACCAATTAATCTGTGTGTTTTAATAATAATTTTATTACAATTTTAGGTTGATTTCTGCTTTTACACCTGCTAATGCTGTCGTGAGTACTCAAAATTTTAGGAAGTTCTATTGCTGTACGTTATTTTCATTTTAATTTAAATTTTAACTTTATTAAAGAATCTTCTGTCTGTTAAATAGGTAATTCTGAATGATTTAAATATATTTCAATGCCCATACTCATTTACTAAACGGTTTGTAAATTAAGCAATAGTTTTAAACAGATGAATTAATTGGATTCCACGATCCTTTATGCATATTTGCATTGAGTTTTTATAATATAACCCAAATTTTTTCTAAAAAATTAGGTAAATAAGTAAAAACACTTCAGTCTGTAGAATTAACAATTTTTGGATAATTTTGACAGATGCAAAAATATTATGGCATTTAATTCTATTATAGTTTTGTGTCCCTATCAAAAATTTGAAGTCAAATTTAATAACAGTTGGAAATTATCAACTATATTTAAAGTCAAATAGGTTTGTGCAATATTGATTTGTCCAATAGGTTGGTGCAACCCTTTTGTAGTAATTTACTGACCGGTCTGTAAATTATGCAATAACTTCAAATTGATGTATTTTACAGATTCCATGATTCCTTTATGCATATTTGCATATTGTAACCTTAATTTTTGTTGTTCATTACACAATTAAATAAGTAAAAACACTTCAGTCTGTAAAATAAATGATTCTGTGTGATCTCAATAAATTTAATAAAAACTGGATTACTATTTAAAATTTCAAGTCAAATGTAATAACGGTTCGAAAATATCAAACATATTTAAGGTCAATATCCTTAATTGGTGTGTAAATCTATTTTTATGTAATTTACTGACCGGTCTGTAATTTATGAAATAATTTTACTGACAGGTCTGTAAATAATAGTTTTCAAATGATGTATTTTTTGGCTTTCATGATTCCTTTATGCATATTTGCATAGTGCAACCCTAATTTTTTTTCTTAATAACACAATTAAATAATAGAAACCTTTCAGTCTGTAAAATAAACAATACTGGATAATCCCGACAGATTTAATAAAAACTGGCTCACTATTTAAAAATTCAAGTCAAATGTAATAATGGTGCAAAAATATCGAAAATTAAAAAATTACAAACTATTTAAAGTTGATATGTTTAAATTGTTTGAACAGCCCATTTTGTAGCAATTTACTGACCAAACAGTAATTTATGTGATTATTCACTGAGCAGTTTGTAAATTATGCAATAGTTTTTAAATTATGTATTTTTTGGATTCCATGATTCCTTTATGCATATTCGCATGGTATAATTATAATATGACCCAAATCTTTATTCTCAGAAATAAGAAAATAATATAAAACCCTTCAGGCAGTAAAATAGATGATTCTGGACAATAACGACACATTTTTTAAAGTAAAATTTTGGTTTTTTATTTTCTCATAGTTCTTTATCACTATGAAAATTTTTAAGTCAAAAGTAATAACGATTTAAAAGTTATTCAAAAGTCAGTTTGACCGCAAAAATATATAAATTAGTAAAAATCCTTGGTCTGTAAAATAGATGATTCTGGTCAATCCTGACAGATTTAAAAAAAAAATTTTGGAATTTTATTTCCTTATAATTGGTTGGTTACTATGGAAAATTTCAAGTCGAATGTATTATTGGTTCCAAAAGTTATTCAAAAGTCAGTATGACCCCAAAAACATATAAATTAGTAAAAACCCTCGGTCTGTAAAATAGATGGTTCTGGTCAATCCCGACAGATTAAAAAAATTTTTAATCTGTCGGGATTGACCAGAATTTTTTTTGGATTTTCACTTCCTTATAGTTGATTGATCACTATGGAAAATTTCAAGTCAAATGTATTATCAGTTCAAAAGTTATTCAAATGTCAATAATACTATCATTTTCGGTGCCATTTCGCCGCAAATTTCCCATACATAAGCCTTATACCTTTTGTCAAAAAATCACCCGTTTTTTGACCACAAAAAGTTTAATAACTTTTGATCCGCTTAACTTCAAAGGTCGAATGACCCCTCATTTTTTAATTCAAACCAAGCTCTATATAATGGCATCATATATGAATATTTAAATTATAAAAAAATTGTGTGGACATGCTATCTATGAGTTACACTAAAAAGTTGTTAACTGAAAATAAAGTTTAAATACTCTAATATATTTTTTATCCTTTATATATATATATTTTTGTGAAAATTTTGTAATAATATACTGAGCAACATAAAAATAAGGCTACAACATTGAGTTTTTAGAGATCAGATAACAAATAACACGGTTGCCATATAGAATATACTCTGTAGTTAAGAACCGTAGCCATTTTAAAAGTTCAAATTTTTTTTGCATTTTCTCACGCATGCGTACCTAAACATAGCGCTTGTAAACGACCGTGACATATATATTTTTTATTTATTTGTTATTTAGGTTCCCCAAGAAGTCCTAATGGTCTTGTCACAGAGCACCACGGAAGTGCATTTAACCATGAAGTTCACGCCTCCTTCCTTACCGTGACGCGAAAATATGTCCAGAGCTCGTTTCGAACCTGGATCTTTTGTTAAGCGCAAAAAGTAAACTTATGCGTATAAAACTGCGTTAATAATATTAAAAAAAATAAATACAAGTTTTAAAATACAAGATGCATATACAAGCAAGCGCTCTAACCACAACGCCACGACCGCATAAATATTTAAAGTTTATTTTATACTCAGATTAAACTCAACTTTTTTTTTGCCTCTCATTTGATTACCAAATCTTGGGAAAAAAAAGAGGTCTTGAGACGACAGCTAACAATAAAATAAACCAATTTAAGGACGACAAAGATAAAAATGCAATATAGGCTAAGCTGTTTGTCACATCCGAATAGCTGAAGTAATATGTGACATAATCAACTTTCATGACTTTGAATTTAACAAATATATCACTACAGTCACAGACTGTATATTCATGTTCTGAGTACACGAAGAGTACATAAATATGACCTAGAAACAGAAGAATTACCTAGTGATAAAAAGAAGCAGAAACAGAAGAACTACCTAGTGATAAAGCAACAACATAGGCTAACAGAAAATATTGTACAGGAGTTCGGTGATATAATGAAAAATGCAGATGTTTTAAGTGTACAAATGCCTAATTTATCTTAAAATGCTTGAAATATCTCATGTGTAAAATCGCACTGGGTTGTTAAATTGCATTACTACTTTGTATTTGAGTCTTATTACATAACTCCAAGGAAGCATTGAAAACACCAGCTTTCCAAATTCCATCATTTTGTCAATAAGAATTTAATGATTCCCGGGAAGACTAACGGAATGTTAGATACTATGTATCATCGAGAGAAAATTTAAAGTTAAGTTAAACTTAATGGCAGACGTGTTGCAACTAGCAGTTTCTCAGAAATAAAATTGATTTTTTGACAAAACATTACTTTTAATTAGTTCTTTTAGGTGCTCCAAGAAGTCCTTACGGGCTTAAAAATATGTTAAAAAATACGCATATAAGCATAATATTCAGTAATACATTAATAATTAAAAAAAGAACAAAATTGTCCTTTTCATAACTTTTGATGTTAAAATAACGTTGTGCGTAGTAAAATCTTTGCGCGTTTAAGCTAAATTCTATTACAATTTTAATAACGAAGTAAGATTTCATTTTTAATTATTGCAAATTTTACTAAGAAGGAAGAAAGACCCTAATTTATATAAGTTAATTTTTTTATATTTGAAACATGTAAAACCATACTTCAACTAAATAATTGTCCACCCTGTGTGCCAGGGATATATATATATATATATATATATATATATATATATATATATATATATATATATATATATATATATATATATATATATATATATATATATATATATATATATAAATATATATATAAATAAACAAAACTAAATTCTATAGAAAATATCTAAACTTTTAGTAAGATCGTCGATCGAATCTTTAATGAAGATTTAGTATAACAAAAAAAATGATTAAAAGCATGTTTAAAAACATTTTTTAGTTAAATTTTTCGTTGTATTTATTTCAACATAAAGAAAGTACTTCGTTGTTGACGATAAAATCAAAATCAAGATCAAAGAAGTAAATCGAAGAAGATCAAGTCAAGAAGAAGATTCAATCAAGTCAAGAAGAAGACTCAATCAAGTCAAGAAGAAGATTCAATCAAGTCAGGGAAACAAATTAAACAATAACTAAACAAAATGATTAGAAGCTTTGATTAAAAATCTTCAGATTAAATATTTTTGCATCCTAATATTAAATATTTTATTTATGTTTTTAGACTATTCTATCTTTTGAGTAAAAAAAAAAAAAAGAACAAAGAAAAACTCCTTGTATTTAATTTCTGAACTCTAAGAATTAATTTATTTTAAAAAATGAATTTTTTTTCTAGTTACAAGTAAGCGTTTTTTTATTTATCGATTTTTGCATTCTTTCACTGAAGCTGCTGTCAATAGAAATCTTATAAAAATGTCAATAAAAAGAAAAAAAACGCTGTCCTTGATTCATAGAAAACCTTTGAAAGTCGATTAAAAAAAACCATTAAAAAAAATGTTTCAGTCCATAAAAAAAATCAACAACAAAACAAAAACGACATAAACAACAAACACGTTAAGAGTAAGTTTGTGTAACTCAATAAAATTTAAATATCCTTTAATTTATTTTCTCAAAATGCAGCTAAAATAACAAGTTAAAAACGCTTCACTAATTTTTTAAGTATGTTCTTTAACTACCTTCGTTTTTACCAAAAGCAAACCAGTCGTCGTCATCTTTGAGTTGTTTAGTCGTTGTGAATGCACCGAAGGGATCTTTTGAATCAAAAAACGGATCAGTTTTTTTTGACGTGGAGGAAAATGGATCTGAGCTTGAAAATATCGAAAATGGATCATTTTTGTTACTTGAAAATGGATCCGTCGTTGTTGTTTCAACAGATTTAGCTGTAGCTGTAGATGAAAAGGGATCTTCGGAGTTAGCAAACGGATCTTCGGAGTTAGCAAACGGACCTCCAGAACCAAACGGATCTGTAGAAAAAGAGTCTGATGAAAACTTTATTTTACTAGTTTCTGTAGAAGTGAAACTTGGCGTAGAAGCAGAATTAGAAAATGGATCGTTTGAAATTAATGCATTATTGGAAGATTCGCTAAATTTATTTGATACATGAACATCAGAATCGTCGCCAAATGACGCAAAATTACTTCCTTTGCTTGAAAAATCACTGTCGACTTTGGTCTAAATCAAATGTAAATTTTTCGATAAGAAAATAAGATTTCGCTAAGGAAATTTCTTTAAAAAAAAACAAACGACTATTTTATACAAAAATTTTAAAATCTTTTATTTCTAAATAACAATCTTAATTTTACTACTTTCTGTAGTTAATTAAGATAATGGACTACTTTGATTAAATAGAAAATTATTTGGTACTACATAAAATTATCTAAAAACCGTGACTTGAAAACGGACTTTGATTCAGTATTAGATTGAACTATTTAAAAACCAGGTCTCTTTACGTCAATCAATGTAAAAATCGATGTAAAAGTCAATCAATGTAAACATCGTTTGATATGTATGGTTTGGCGTAATGAGGTTGAATTCAAATATCCATGCATTTATTGTACCCATATATCCTTTGGCAATCATGTCGACATGTAGACATTACGAGAGGATAAATAGGCATAAGGCTTGATTAACCATGTAGACATTACGAGAGGTATGGCTTAATGAATTGTTTCAGTCTGAGTTATACAACAACAACGACAACAAAATAAAATAACAAAAACAAAAATGATCTTTTCTTTAAGAGCTTACAATACTAAAGTAGATAACTGAAATTTTAGATTATTATTGTTATTTATTACTATTCTTTGCATATTTTGCAATTATATTATTCCAACTTTATAAAAATCATTCAATATGAAAACAATACAAAACTCATTTAATATAACAAAAAAACAAAATTTATAAAATAAATTGTTTTTATTGAAAGCTATTGTTGTGTGCATTTTTTTAAACAACAACAAAAAAATCACTATAAACTACCTTAGATTTGCTGTTTGATGAAAATCCCCCACTTTCAAATGGATCTATTGATAAAAAAGGGTCACCTTTCAAACTACCTAAAAAAATATTTTTTTAGGTAAATAATAAACACATACATTCTCTGATTAAATTAACCTATTTTAATAATTTTATGTCTTTATAGTATTAAACGCTTTTTTTTTAAATACAGAAAAAATAAAGATCTTTTAAAGTACAAAAAATAATAATAAATATGTGTTTATTGATTTGTTTAAATATTTGTAAATTTATAATACTAGATTTAATAATTTTTAAATTTAATAATTAAAATTCTAATTAAATATATTTTTAAAATATTTATTAATTCTTTTTGAATCAATTATTTGTGACCTTTTCTATGGAGATTTCTTTAACACTCCTATGGAGTTTAAAGTTGGGTAATTTTTTGGACAATACAAAAGTGGAACTTTTCAAGAAGATAATAATTAGATTTTGCAATGTGGCCAGTGTACTAATGTGGCTAGTAAGCCACCAGGACCCTGTCCCTGGCTAAAAATAAGACTTTTTTTCAAACCCGGCCCCAGCCCCTGCAAAACTATAAGATTTACCAGGGATAGCCGAGGCTAGAAAAAAATTTAAAATACTTCATATATTATATTTATATTATATTATGCTTACATTTACTAATGGGAGAGTGGCTCAAGCAGATAAAGCAGGTCTAATAACATTTACAATGTGCTTTTAGACTTTGTTTGAGAGTAAGAGATTTGTTAATCATCAATATAGGAATGCCAATATTATTGCAATATTTTTTTTCAGCAAATAAATGAGTTTTGTTGTCTAACAAAAATTGTGGATTTTATGTCCAGAATATAAATCCATAAGCCACTGCAAGCCTTAGGCTGCTACAGAAAAGCGATCAAATTAAAAATCAGCTCCTTGATCTAAGCAATCAAAAAAAGAAGATTTTTTGACAAGTTGTCAGCAAAAAGACCACTTTAGATATAAAATTTTCATAAAGATCGGTATTGTAAATAAGAAACAATACAGAAGCAAAGATAGTACCTTGTGATACCCTTAAAGTTACTTCTAATAAAAAAAAGCTTCAAGGATAACTTTAATACTGCAGTTAGAAAGAAATAATTTAATAATCTCAAAACCTTTATATAAAGAAACTAATAACAGAGTGAAGACTGATCATAGGATAGTTGGGTAGGTCACAGTGTTTTCTTGAGTTTTGAAAAATTGGAACAGCATAATCAGCACTTTTTAAAAATTTAGCAAAAATTGAAGGGAGTTCTTGAGAACGCTTTTTCAAGACTATAATGGAAATCTTGTCCGAAGCGCAAACTGTAAAAGTGTTTAATTGAGAATTAACTTTAACATTGGAAGCCAGAGTGATTAATCTATTTAACTGTAAGGAAGAGTATGGGCATTATATTTAAGAGACAAATTAGAGTAAGATTTCTTAGCAAATAACTCTGCTTTATTTTTTGGGAGAAGTAAAAAAAGATCAGACCCATGAATTAGAGATAAAATGTTAGACTTATTTTAGTTAATGGCATTGTTGAAGACTAACCAAAAGTCTCTAGAACTTAACATCTGATATAAGATACAAGATTTAGTAAACTGAGAATATGAGAGATTAACATCAGACAGGACCTTTTTACATTGGCTTCTTGGAATAATAAAAGGACATTTGTTCTTAAGAGAGATGTTCTTTTAAAAAAGATAAAAAAAACGATTAATATTTTTTAATAAATTATAATTACAATTTAATAATTACAATAAATTACAATAAATTACAATTTAATAAAGCAACTGCTCAAGATGGTGAAAAATGTGAAGTAGAATGAGACCTAACTTAAAATTGAAGAGTAGGAATAAAAGCTTTCAAGATGCGCTTTATGCATACATAATATGAATATAAACATATATTTAGATGCTGAAATACAGTGCCAGTGCTAATGTGGCAGGTTCTATCTTGCATAAACATGTCCCTTATTTGAGAACCACTTGTTCAATTAAGGTAAAAGACAAGTTTTGATTTTTTTTTTATGATTTTTATTTTATTGCTCCATTATCAACGTCAAACCTTTTAATGAAACAAACATGACTTTTGAAAAAAAAAATCGTGTAATCCCTGACAATCAAATGCTTGATTGTTTGGATTACACAAATTTTGAGGTAGATTCATTGCTAAAACTTTGAGAAAACAGAATATCACAACACAAGAAGACTAAAATAAATTTAACAAAAATGACAAAAAACAATATACTAAAATGTAAACAATAATAATAAAAAAAAAAAAAAATTTTATATTCTAATAGAAAACCACAAAATACTCAACTACACTACCAATGTAATAAATGCTGTTAGATATAACTTTATTATAAATACAACAAGTTGCTAAAATTGGTATTTATTGGATATACCTAGATCGAATGTTGCTAACCAAAAAAAAAAACAACAGGTTTTAAATAAAATATAGTAACAAATACAAAAACAGTTAACAAAATCACTACAACATCAAACATCAAAAACTACAATCGGTGGAAAAAAACCAAAAAAAAACCAAAATATATATATATATATATATGTATAAAAAAAGACAACCTAAAAACTAACATTTTTACATACACATATATATTTTACATATACATATATACACATATATGCATACATACATATACATACATACACACACATACTAATGGTTGTCGAAGTAAGTATTGAATGTTCCAATACAATAGAATCAAGTACTAGAAACCACTATAAAAAATTTCTACCACCGAACCATATCTAGCCATACTTAAAATTACCTATGATGGATTTAACATCTATAGATATATTATTTGACTATGTTTATATTTGTATACATATACCTTTTAATAAATATATGATTCATTTTTCATAGACCAGATCAAAATATTCCCCCAACATATCGTCAACTGTATATCTATGACCCACTTTCAGCAGTAAATTTTAGAATGCAAAAACGTGGTAATTATCTTTGCTTAGTGATTTAATGTTTCATTTGCAAACTATAGTTAGTGAAGTGAACCCATTTGCTCTTGCATTTAAAAACATGGCTGAAGTAGAAGATGAAGAAATTTATCAAGCAGCTATAGAAGGTTGCTCAGTTTCAGTTGTAAATAAGTCTTTACTTGAAGAGCAGTATAAACATTGTTGAAATCTGCCTTCACATAATGAAGCTGCAGTTGCATTGGTGAAGATGGTGCTCCACCTGTTTCCTGGGAAGCTGTTTACCCAAGTGATCATCCTCTAAAAATTATATTGAGTATGTCAGCCAACTTAGATTTTATGGTTTATTCACTTTTTTTTTCCAAGAGGTGATGCTTGGCGTAATCAATTGTTGCACAATCCTGAACATGCAACATTGGTTAGAAACAATATTACATTATCTCAGTTTTGCAATTATAGACTTTCAGTAAGACAAAACCTTTGTTCAATATTTTATGGCAAAAAACTATTTCAGCATCATGCTGTTGATGCATGTCAAAAGTGTGGTCTGCCACATGTTCATATTTTACTTTATTTTCCAAATAATAATAAGCTGGGGTATGCAATGTCACTCTAATGAAAGTTTGTTCTCTTCAAAACATTTGTATTGATGCAGAGGTTTTGACAGGTGTTTTTGGTGGTAAACAGGTCTTTGTTCTTAATAGTGAACAAATATTTTTCCAAAAATTCCATATAAAATTCTTAAAGTTGAAAAAAACAAAACATAACCTTTGAATGATAAACAAACCTTTGAATGTTATACAAAATATTTATTTACAAATACACTTAATTTACAAACAATTATTGTTTACTATTAAACAATGAATTAAAAAAAAAGTTAAAAAAAACAAAACATTTTATATTACTTTGCCTGCTGTTATAGATGATTTTAATTAGTTATTAGTGTTATAACCAATAGCCAATTGTCTAGAACTAGGTAGTGAAACTAGCCAAGCAAGTGTTGTGACTTGCAGTGTGTGTAGAGCTAGGCCATTAAAGTAGCCAAGCAAGTGTTGTGATCTGCAGTGTGTGTGAAAAAAATAATTTCAAAATGGTGTAGACCAATTGCTAAGTGGTGCAGAGGTGGTGTAATTAGCAGAGGTGCAGCAGCAGGTGGATAGCAGGACAGAGGTGTTACTGCTGTATATCTAGGTTCTGTTGTCTAGCTATACATAATTATATAGAAAACACATATATGTTAATATTTAGTGTAATGTAATGTGATTATACAGATATATTATTTAATATATGCTATTTGCTTTTGCTCTGCGTAATTATTGTGATGTACTTTGTTGTAATGTTTTGTGTTAATAGATAGCTTGACTTCCATTAGTGCCAATCATTAAAAATGATTATAGTAGTTTCATTCTACCTAAATGTTTTTAAGCCAAGTATTAAAAACCAAGATAACATTTGATATTACTATAGTCCGATTGCTTCTCAAACTCTTTTTTTTATTTCATAGCATTATCAATAATTTTGCTCTTTGAATGAGATATTATAGTTGGTTTTTCATTAAAGAAATTGATTAATTTCAAAATGGATCCGCTGCGAAAATGTTTTCATTATAAGTAATTTTTTTAAATCAGCAATAAATATTTTTAATTATTATAATATGATTTTCTTTATAATAGGCTGTGCTAGGCTTTAGTTCTGTAGATGGCAGCTGTTATAACTGAATTTGAAAAGTACTTTCATTACAAAAGTTTTTCTGTTTTTAACGTTAATTGTTTTCTAAGAAAATTGACAAATGCTGTGTTTATTTTTTTTTTTTTTTGTTATACTTTTTATTTAACTCTACATTATTTATATATTCTAAATCAACTTATTTTAAAGATATATAAATTCATGACTTTCTGTTTTTATGGATTTGTTAAAAGGTTTTTTCATAAACACAAGTTTATATATACTTTTTGATATATATCTGTTTTTGATGTAAGTGAAGAAGATCAAAGAATAAGCTAATGAATACTTCAAGTGTGTTGTATTATATATATATATATATATATATATATATATATATATATATATATATATATATATATATATATATATATATATATATATATATATATATATATATATATATATATGCGTTATATTTGACTTAAAGAGTTTCAACTTTCACTTACTTGCAATTGTTGAAAACTTAGTTAAAAAAGCTAATAGTTGTTTAACTATATGTTTTTATAATTGTAATTATAGTTTAACTAAATGTTAAACTAAAACTCACTAAAGAAAGTATTAAATTGCACCCCCACTTTAAAGTATGGAATACCAAAGAACACCTTACCAAACTGGTTAAGAAATAACGAAAGTTCCAAAAAAATTTCAAAGAGGGAACAAAAAATGTTTTGACATAGCATGAATTATCAGAGGTTTGACTTGGAAAAACTTTTGAGAGAGAAAAAAAAAAAAGGATTTTATTAGTAATTAATTAAACTTTGAGGATTATTTTGAGATTCTAAGGGACCAAAGAAAAAGGTTTGAGTTCTAGTTAACTGATGTTCTATTTAATGAGACTTAAATGTAAAAAGTTTTTTCAAAAGCATTCAATTTACACATTTAAAAATTTGAATGAAATTACCATAGCAACCATAAAAATATGTTTGTTACAAATTTGAGTACATAAAATAAAAAGAATACTAAAAGTTTCAAACTTAAAAAAAAATAAAATAAAGTTATAAATAAAGAATTATAAACAAAATAATAGTTAATTGCTATCTTTCTGTTTTTAAGTACTTTTTTCAAAATTTTCAAGAACAAAGTGAAATAAAACATTTGCATATAAAATAAGTGAAAGTGAAACATTTGCATATAAAAAAGACAAAAAAAAAAAAAAAAAAAAAAAAGTTAAACAAAACAATCATATAATAATATACTAAAATAGAGTTTGAAATATTTGGTAAAATAAAATCTTTTAAATTTTTTTTTAGAAAACAGTTGCTTGAATATCAGAAAAACAACTGTCAACAATGATTTTTTTAATCTATTTTTTCACCATGAGCAAAAAAAAAAAAAAAAAAAAAACCTGTTTCCAATATGTCTATTTGACTTTCAAAGGAGTAACAAATTGGAATAAAAAGGAAACTGAAAGAATCGAAATGAAAACAAATAGAACAAAAAAAATAGAACTGAGCGCTATGAGCTGAGAGAAAACAGAATAATACAAAGTAATTATCAAAAACTATTGCTAAAACTAAATCAGTTATCAATATATTAATTTCTCCATGATCTCATTTATGAAAAATTTTATCAAACGATTGAAAAAGCCTGTGCAAATACTGATAGACTGTGCAAAAAACCTACATTCCTTGGTTTCTGAAGTCATCTATCAAACACAGACAATATCTAACGATCTTATTATAGTATCATAGTATTATGTTATTATAAATTAGGCAAAATTGCTAAAATTCTTTTCTTAGAATTCAATAATATTTGGCTAAAAATGTTATCACTCTCAGATTGAAACGTAAATAATATAAAAAAATCCTTAATGAGACAGGAATACATCCAGAGTATATATTTCACTTTGAAACAAATAAACCTTAGATCAGAGATAACATAATCATTGACAAGAGCACTCATTTGCATATGGTTTTTGGCAATGATATGGCTGGTATCTATTTTTTATAATCTTTTCTTTCACTTGATATAAACTCTTCTTCAGCTTTCTTTGTTGTCCTTAGTGCACAAAAAACTAACCTTTTATATAGAAATTAGCTATTAAATTGGATGCAAGTTTGTTTTTAAAAGTAATCTTTATTCATTAACAAATCTTTTCACTTTTAAAATTGGCTAATATTGCTTGTGGGTTTGTAATTTATTTTTAATAATATAATTTATTTCTTGTTTCTATTTTTAATATCAGCTAAGATTGCTTTTTTTAATAAAATTGAAAAAATAACTTATGACATAATTTTGTTTTATATTATTACAAAAATATATTACATATGTGGGAGGATGAAAGTGGCAATGCAAATGAAATATTTGTACTTTATGTTTTTTACTTTTATATAAAAAATGTTTATCCTTTAAAAATATTCTGCTCCTTTAATCAGGAAATACATTTTTTTAAATAAGGATAAAAAAGCTCAAATTAATTAGTCTTGACAAACGCATTGCTAAATATTGTAACTCTCTTAAAAGACTAAAAAGTAGAAAATAAAATATAGCAAAAACATATGCTAAAAAATACAATCTTTTTTGAGTTTAAATTAAAAAGTAGAAAACAAACTTTTTAATCTAAACTTAATAGTTCAGTAAACTATGATTGACAGGTCTGCACAAGATTTATATAGAAACAGACCTGTCAATCTTTAGTTTACTGAACTATTAAATTTAAATTAAAAAGTTTATTTTCTACTTTTTAGTACAAAAAAGATTATATTTTTTAGCAAATGTTTTTGCTATATTTTATTTATAATTAATCTCAGTATTGTTTATAAACTGTTTTAGATTCCTGATAGAAAATTTGTAGATTCTCATCTTGGCTTTAAGTTTTTCAAAGATTTTGTTTCAAATATCAAGTGCATAAAGGACTGCTCTGAGAAAAATATTTCTAATGTAACTGCAGCAAAAAACATTTCCAAAGTAACTTTAGAAAAATTTTTTTTTAATGTCACTCAAGAAAAAAAATATTTTGAAATTTGTTAAACTATTTATCTTCAGATTTTATTTTATCTAAAAATTAGAATTTTCAAGAAAATCTACACCTAACACTTCCTAAAGATTTAGAGACCAAAAATTTGACACTTATCTTTTATTTCAAGTATATAACCAGGATGCTTCAAAATTTTTTTTCTGTAAAAGAGATGCATTTTTGGACCCCCTAATGTTTATGTATAATTTACGTCTTAATAAATAGAAATATATATATGTTTATATAGACATATATGTTATAAGCCAATATATAAATAGCAAGTATCTACATAAATATGTATTATATAATGTATTATAAATTATATTCTAGCCCCAGCTAACCACTTCTCCTAATATTACTTAGTAAAGGTTGAGGTTGTTAAAAAAAGGCCTCAGTCACCCAATAGTTACATTATATATTTTCATAGTTTTGAAAATTTACCTTGAGAGGTAACAAAAGGATCAGACTTGAATGGATCATCATTCTAAATCAAATACACATAAATTAATGTGTTCTCGTATACTTGGTCATGTAAATTAATATGTTCTCATATAGATGGTCATGTAAATTAATGTATTCTCATATAGATGGTCATGTAAATTAATGTGTTCCCATATTGATAGTCATGTAAATTGATGTATTCTCATGTAGATGGTCATGTAAATTAATATGTTCTCATATGGTCATGTAAATTTTGGTTGATTTAAATGTCATTGTCTTAGTTACAAATATTTAAAAAATTTAATTTAATAAAAATTAGTTTTTAAAATTACCTGAAATGGGTCGCTGGAAAACGGATCATTAGAAAATGCTTTGAATGATTCAGATTTAAAAGGATCTTCAGAACTAAAGGGATCACTGTCTAAAAAAACAAACTTAAAACAATTTTTTCTCTGCAAAATACTAAGATATTTTTATTTTGCAGAAAATTTGTTCAGTGAAGGGGAGAGAACCTGGTACACATATATAACATTTGTATTACATATGTGTACATATAATGGTACACATAATTAAGTTGGTACACATAATTATGAGAACCTGGTACACTATGCATAATTTGTATTACATATGTGTAGATTGTTGGTACACGTAATTAAGGTAGTGCATACGTGTACCAACAATGGTATCTGAAATAAAAATAAACCAAACCCAAAATTAAAAAAACAGACAATTTTTTTAATATTATGTTGCTTCTTTGCACTTTTTCTCAATAATTTACAAAAAAACAAATAAAAATTTAAATATACTTTAAAACATTAAAGAACCATTTACAGAACAACTTTTGATTTTATGTAAATTCTAAAAAATGTTGGTACATGTGTACCAACCGTAGCAAAGGGGTTAGCAAAGACAAAAAGATTTTCATAACCTTTTTTATTTAAGGATTTTAAGAACTTAATTGATGCTAAATAATCGAAAAAAATAGCATTTTGTTGAACAGATGCTGTTGTGAGATATATGTTGTGTGGAGACATGTTGTGTAGAGACATGTTGTAAAGAAAATAAAATTATTTGGAAAGCTGTGTACTGTGAAAAATTGTGCTTTGTTTTAAAAATATAATTTGTGATAAAAAATGTTGTTAAGGTGAGTTTCCACTCATCCGTTTTTCTACGAGAAAGGGAAAGGGAACATAAAAATAATCACGTGAGTATGCGCAGTTTTCTTTCGGACAAATAAATTCTTTTATTACGCATGCTCACGTAATTATTTTTTCCTTTCCTATCCCGTTCCCGTAGAAAAACGGATGAGTGGAAACTTGCCTTAAGGAAAGCAGAGGTAAAACTACAAACAATAAAATTCAAATTTGACAAGAATTTATTTTATATTGAAATCATACAAAATATTAGTTAAAAATGTTTCGTAATATTCATTAATCTTACCAGAAATAGACATTGCAAATGGGTCATGTTTTATTTGAAATAAATCCTGAAAAATAAAAGCATTTGACATTTATACAAAAAGTTATATAAATTTTAATATTATAAAATTTAAAGGTACATAAACATTAAAATAATACATTATTGTATTAATAATAAGTCTATACAATTCTTAGGCTTATTAAATTATTTTACTTTTATTACGTTTACATTCAAAGAAAACTATCAAAAACGAAAATAATTGAATAATTTTTAGCTCTATAATACACAATGACAAATTCTACAAGTTAAATGTAAACATATGTTACACACAAGTTATAACAATTTTGAACTTGCTAAAATAGTTATTTTCATTAAAATATTTTAAATTTGTATTCATTTTTAATTTGTTTTTATTCATATTTTTAGACAATTATGTTTAAACATATTAAACACAGAAAATGTTCTTAAATTATTTTGCTGTTAATATATTAGAAAGAACATATGAAACTTAAAAAATAAAAAAAAGTTGTGAATTAAAAAAGAAAACAGTATTAAAAATTTCTTAACAATTTCTTAAAAAGAATGTTAAGACACTTCTGATTACCACAGATTAAAATTGGATTTATATTAATGAAGTATTTTTACTTTTAAAACAATGTTTTGCAACTCTAATTTTACTTAACTTAAATATTTATAATAAATATTTATAGAAACTTTTAGTTAAAAAGTTTAGAAATTTATTTATTTTGATAAGCAAACAACCATCTCGCAGCCTTTATTATCATTTTTATTGAAAAAAACAACAATAACAACAATGCAAAAAACAAAAGAAATTGAACCATATAAAAACTATTTTAAAAAGAAAAATTATTTCAGTTGATTATCAAACCAATAAAAATCATGTCTGATTATCAAACCAATAAAAACCATGGTTGATTATAAAACAAATAAAAATAAGGGTTTTGTTGTTTTAGAAAAAATTGTTGGTTTATAACACAATAAAACAAACAAAAAACTAATTTTGGTTTAAAAAACAAACAAAACTTATAAGATAAAAAAACTTTGAGTGTAAATATTAAAAAAGAAGTAAACAAAAAAAATTAACACTCAAGAAAAAGTACACACTAAAAGAAAAAATATAAACATAAAATTAAAATCTATACAAAAAAATTGATGTTATTAGAAATAAAAAAAAATTTAAAGCAAAATATTCATAAATGAAAAGAAAAATATACTTCATTTTCATTCATTTTAACGGATGTCATAGCAACATTTAAACCACTAACTGAAGAAGACTAAACACAAACATCAAAAGTTGTTTTGAAAAACTTTCCTACAACATTTTAAAGACATTATAACTTTAAAACATTAAAACCTTTTTTTACCTGATCTGTTAGAGATTCTATTTTATCTTTTATAGACTTGTTTTCTAAGTTTAGTTTTTCAATATTTGATTCAATCTAAAAATGTTTAGTTTTTCAATATTTGATTTAATCTAAAAATGTTTACTTTTTCAATATTTGATTCAATCTAAAAAAGGATTTATTAACAAAAGTTAAAAAAAAAAAAAAAAAAAAAAAAAAAAAAAAAAAAAACCAAGTAAAAATTTTTTAAAAAATACACACTTGCAATGCTTCATTTTTACTAGCTGCAACTTTACTTTTAATTTTCTCAAGTTTTTTCATGCTTTCTGCAACTTGCTGTTCCAACAAACTTTCTTCTTTTTTTAGTTCTTCTAATTCTTTCCTACCCTTATGGAGCTCCTGCTCTTGTTCTTTAACATCTGATTTCTGAGAAGCAAGTTTTGATTTTAACTGTTTTAAGGTTATTTTTTCTTGTTCACATTGTTCAAGAACTTCTTCAATAGATGTAGAAAGTTTAGATTGTTCGCTATCTAAAGAATCTAGTTGCTTCTGTAACTCACTTTTTTTCTGTGTAAGAATTTCTAATCCTTTATTAGCTTTTTCTAAGTTAACTTGTAAATCCTAAAATGTATCCAATTATTTATCCAATTAAAATACTCAGAAAATAGCTTAAAATATTAACAAAACATTAAAAATAAACAAACCTCCATTTCACTTCTTCTTGCTTTGATAGCATTTTCAGTTTGACTGATTTCCTTTTGGAGGTTAGCTTTTTCTCTATCGAAAAAATTAACATTTCTATTCAAGTTAAATGGCAGGAAATAATAAGATAATGTTAAAAATAAAAATGTAATAAAAAAAACTTTTCAAAATATTTAAAGACTTACTTTCCAAGGTTTTCTATCTCAGTACTAACTTTGTCTAATTCTTTGATGGCTGAAAAATCATTGAAAGTTGATTCCATTGAAATTGTTGTTAAATCCTTAAAAAAAAAAAAAAAAAAAAAGCTTTAAAAATGTTCAAATAAAAGAACTACAAAATTAATTTTTATAGAAATTACATTTCCAGTTGAAATTTTCATTGAAGGAGGAATCATATTTGAGGATAATGTTTGAGGTAATTCTTTACCAGATCTCTAAAATATAAAGTTCACACATTAGCTTTGTTTTTAACCTTTAAATTAGTAAAGTTGTTATTTTTTGAAATTTGGAACAACCATATTATGCAATAACAACTTTTTTATTGTTTTCATTATTTATATGAAATTTCTTTGCAACTAAGTACATCATGCTCCAAACAAAAATAATTTAAAGCATATAGATATCACTGATGCATTTAAATAAAAACACATTAAAAACCCACTATAAAAATTAACCAGATTGTAAAAAAAAAAACCACACTATAAAAATCAAGCTGACTGTAAAAAAAAACAACAACAACAAAAATTAACCAGACTGTAAAAAATAACCACACTAAAAAAATTAACCAGATCATTAAAAAAAAAAAACACTTTAAAATTTAACCAGGCTGAGAAAAATAGCCACACTATAAAAATTAAACAAACTAAAAAAAAGTACCTTTTGAGCAATTAAATGCATTGCTAAAGCAAACTGTTCAGAATTCAACAAACCACTGTTGTTTGTATCACAAAGATTCCTGATAAAAATGAAAACAAATTAAGTTAAAAATTTGTTGTAAATGTAGTTGAATTAAAAGTAGATAAAAACAAACAATTATATCTGATTCTCAAATAAGTCCCTTGAACCAAAATACAACCCCTACTGGGTTATGGTTTGGTTCAAGGGACTTATTCAAAAATCCATAACCCCTACTGAGTAAGTCTACGCAAGAAGTTATTAAAGTTTTTTTTTCCTTCTAATTCACGCTTTTACTAGAATTATTATAAAACTACTACATCCTTACTTTTTACCTTCCCAAGCTTCATGTCAGGTAACGTAATTCAGTGCAAGCTGTTGTATATGTCCTGCTAAGATTCGCTTAGTAAGCAAAGACTAGAAATGTACTTTCTGTCATCAATACTATCTAATATCTGCTAAACCTATAGAGATAAATATTTTTTGTCTTTTATATAGTTGGAGGTGTCTTAGTCATGTGTTAGCTTACCTGTAATTTACTGTATATGTATGTTTTTGTTCTATTTAAAATTCTGGCGGTGTGTTCACCCATAAGTTGCTATATGTGTATTTGTGTTCTGTGCTCACACTTAAGTTACTATTATGTTTACAGTCTACTTAAATCTTTGATACTGTGTGAGCTCAGTTTCCAACTAGTGACTCTAACTATAAAACTCAGGTTCATCTTTATCTTTAGTATTCTATTAAATGTAATGTTTTTTTAAATGTATTTCCAAAATGTCCCATTCAATGTTTTAAAGTACTGTTAAGTAGCTTCTTTTAACTACTTCAGGTAAACAGGTTCTAGGGTTCAGTTTAGGGTTTTCAGGTACTCAGGTTCTAGGGTTCGGGTTAGGGTTCTAGGGTAGTCAGGTTCTAGAGTTACTCAGGTGCTAATTGTACGATGTAACTCAGTCAGGGTTAGGGTTCAGGTACCTTCCTTATGCCCTGCTGTTTGTATGGTTTGCTTTGGTTTTTATCTTGGGCAGATGTTAACTATATCCAGCTACTGTCTTGTAGAAGGCAAATACTTTAGGGGTAAACAAAATAATTCAGCAGACCAACCTGGCACCCCTTCATCTTCCATTAGACTGGCATAGATGTAAACCTGTGTTACATTGTTGAATGCATTGTTGAAATAAACATAATCATTGCTGAAATCAACATATTTGTTGTTGAAGCAAAACACTTTTACATTTTCATTAGAAATTCCTTGAATATCTTATAAATAATATATTGTAATTTGTAATAACCATTGATTGATCTGAAAACCTCTGGTTACCTTACACATTAAAAAAATCTTCAAAAGTGAGTCTTTGAATTTTTCAAAACATTTTTGAAAACCTAACGGCTGGTATTTCCTTATAATAATTCTTTAAAAAGAAATTGATAGTATAGATTTATAGTTAAAAAACAATGTTTAAAAATTATTCAAAAGTAATTCCAACTTAAATAAGTTGGAAATGCAACAAATGTTGATTGGTTAAACAACAAAGACTACATTTTATAAAAATGTAGCTTTGCAAAAAACCAAAAAAAAAAAAAAAAAAAAATGTAGCCCTGCTCTTAAATAACAAAGTTTGTGTTAAAAAACTTGAAACAAAAACAAACTTGGTTATATGTTTGCTGTTACAGACACTAATTTAAAAAAAAAACATTTTTTTTTTTAAATTAGTATCTTAGTGATTTTTAAGGAGTTCAAAAATTTAAAATATCTAAATATAACATTGTTAAATATAATAAATTTTAAACATACACAAACTAAAATAAAATATACACATATTTAATAAAAATATTTGTTAAAAAAAAGAAGCTTTAAATAAAGTACCTAATGCTTCAAAATATTGGAAACCCTAAAATATCATACTTAAAGAATTTTTATTTTTACAGCAAAATCTTTTAAAGAAAATTTTAATAAATTTTGATAAATATCAGGGTTATCTAAATTTGCCAAAATTCTTTTCGACATATACATCTACAGCTTGAAATTCATTTATAAGAAAGGTAACCACACCAAACTAAGCAAAAACTTTGGTGTATCTCAAGGTCGGAATTAATGTGGTAAATAATTTATAAATAATAATGTGGTTGTTATTTATAAATACAGTAGTTTTAAGCACTTTGCATTTCTTGTTGTTAAATGGAAATTAAACAACAAGAAATGCATCTTAAAAACGTATATAATTAAAAAGTTAATTTGTTTAGCTTTCTATCGAAAATGATGTCTGGTGGAAAGAAAAGAAAAGTAGATAGAGAGAGAGTCACTTTTAGCTAGGGTTAATTTCAGCATCGCTAATTTAATTATTATGTTGAATATATTTTTTTCATTCCATTTTGTTATTTGAATAAATTGTATTACAATAGGATTGTCTTATTATTTCATGTCTGATATATATCATTAAAAATTATGGCTGGTTTCATTAAAGTACTACTTTTAAATGCGATACTTTTAAACGCGGCCTGCAAACGCATTTGCACACTAAAGTTTGGCCCACACTATGTCAAAGGTTGCCCATATCTGATTTAAATGAACTTGAATGATTCGAATGAACTTAAATAAGTTGAATGAACTTAAATGAATCAAATTTTAAATGAACTCGAATGATTTGAGGTCCAATCATGCATAAGAAACATTTTTTTAGATTAACAATTTGTTAATATTAGTTATTTGAGTAGCCTGCCAGTTGTTGCTAAACTCGCAGGATAGCAAACTTGATGACTCTTTATTTATCCCCTGTACCAACCTGGAACATAACATATGATACTATAACAATTTTATACATCACTTAACACTGAGTTAACATTAACATATAACATATTTTCTAATAGTGCTAAACACAAATATATATGAGAATTTTTTTAATACAACTTCTTCAAACAATTTATCTAAATTTTAGCAATTTCAATTTTAATAAGCTCAATCTAAGCAAGAAGCAATTATTCAATTTACTACGATTTAGAGGTTGTTTGCATCTGCTTGATGCAAACAACCTCTTAATACCATTTAAACTAAATAACTGTTCTTCAAACACAATTGGTTATTTCTCTATTCTAATTACTAACACAAACTGAAAGCTTGTTCAAGTCAGTCAAGTCATAAATGTGTGACTTTTTGACAGTTTGAAAATGTCTTAGAAAATTTCAGAAGTTTTTTGAAAATACTAGAATATTCTGGAAAATATTCAGACCTTCTGGACAATTCTAGCAGTCCAGGAACATTCTAGAAGGCTTAGTATTCAATAAAAACAAAAAACTTTCTTGTAAACACTGAAATTTCAAAATATGGTTTTACTGTTCGCAGAATTAAGTGTTTGTGGAACAACAGCTTTTATTTTTTAATCTTTTTTTTTTTTAGCTTTTTTTTTTTTTGGGTTTGGCAAACACACTTTAAAAAACAAGTTACAGACATAATTACTTGTTTAGTTAGAAAAAAAGCTGTTTTGTTTAACTGAGTTGATGACCTAGGTTTTCTATTCAAGTAATCTAAAAACTCTCTCTTCTATCTTCTTGAGACTTCAAGGTTTAGGAACTTAAAAAAAAGACAAATGACTTTTTTTTACAAATGATGAATTTCTGAAAACAATTACTGTTAGCTAATAATCAAAGATATAATTTAAAATTTAAAAAGTTATTATAATAAAAGTCATTTAAAACATTTTAAAAATAATTTACCATATATGAGCAAGCACAGGTTGTGGAAGCCCTGACGCTATGAGAATATCTTTAATTTCAGCACCTGAACAACATTTCAATGAATTCTCACAAAATAACATCACAAATAAGATTAAATTTTAAGATATTTGTTTTTAATATAAACATATTTTATTTATAAAAAAAAATAACTGTATATAACTTTTTCATTTGAATTTTATAATATAAAAATTGTTGACAAACATAAATTTATAATAAAAAATATTAGTATGTTTTAAAAAATGAATAAAAACACAAAATAAAAAAAAACCTGAAACTAGCCCATCTTTATTTGTATCAAGCAATATAAACTTTTGATCATATGCTGTTTTCATAGGTGCAGAAACAACCCAGTCACTAGAGGTCTGGCTCTAAATAAGAATTCATTAAAAAAGTTTATTTTAACAAAAAAAAGTTCAACTTAGGTAAACAAAAAAGTTATTATGAGTATTTAATATGATTCTTCCATGATTATACAAGATTAAACAATAATAATAAAAGTATTATACAAAAACAAATTATTAAAATAAAATTATTTATATTAAAAAAAGTAAATTATTTATATTATAATTAATAAAAGAAGTATTTTGCAGTTTATATATTTTACAGGAAAAATTAGAAATGCAAAAGAATTTAAAAAAATATAAAAAATCTTCAAATTAATACAGCTTTTTTTATATCCAAACTTTTTCATGAAAATTTTCTGATTCTCATAACTACCTCTCTGAATATATCCCCGATCATCAAAAATACCTCACTGATTAAAATCAAAACCTTTACAAATACCTAATTGATTAGATGCTAGATCCTTATAAATACTTCACTAACTAAAGATTAAAAATTCCCTAATGACTTATATTGACTTGTATATCAATAATAGAGTTAAAAAAATATATACAAAACTATAAAAATATAAAAAACTATATATATATATATATATATATATATATATATATATATATATATATATATATATTAAAAAATAATCAAAAGTTTCAATTACCAATGTTTTATTAGCAGAAACACCAGATGAAAGCTGAGTAGTTGATGCCCTTTTCGAAGCAGGTATTATGCTGAGTGGAAGAACAAGAGGGATGTCACCACCCTCTATTGCACGATATATAAGATACATTGCCTAAAAAGATTTTTAATAACACACCTTGAAAAGATAATAAATTGAATATAATTTGAATAAACTTAGGTAACAATGTTAAAAAAGAAAAGTTTTTTTTTTTCCTACAAAATAAAAAATAAAAAAAAAAACTTTTAAAAAGTTTTCTTTATTAAAATTTCTTCCTTTTAAAGTTTTGAAACTTTTTTTACTTTAAGTTGAAAACTTTTTCTTTGTGAATATAAGAAGTGGGAAAAAATTTATAACTTTTTAAATCATAAAAAATCAAAACCAGAACTTTATTTTTTGAATTAAAATTCTGCCTACAAAACAAAAAAAAAAGTAATACAAACCATAGACCTATTAAAGATCCTGTAGATCTATTAAATTTTAAAAATTAATTTTCAATTGATCCAACAAAACACAATCAAAAAAATAGACATTTTGAAACATTAAAAGAACTTTCAAAATTGCACAAAGAAAAACTTAAGAACTTTTTTATGTTAATTTATACAAATACATCTACTATTTCTAAAAAATGTTTTGGAAACAAAGGGCTTTATTGAAAAGTGGTCAAACAAATTAAAAAAAAAAGCATTAATGTAAATGATGGAAAATGCATTACATTTTATAGAGAAAATTGAACTATTCCATGAAAAAATTGTAACAATTTTTTTCTTCCTTATCAACCATATAAATGATGCCTTTCTTAAATTCCTCAGAGTTAGATTTTTCAGTTTTTGATTTCAGGTTTTGACAGACTTTACCAAAGTTTATTGCAGGTCAAGTAAACTAAATAGTAAATATTTTTTATTAGTGTTTAATTGAATGTTCTTCTGTGAGGTTATGTTTCCAAAAACAATTTACTTCTTGATTAACTTTTAAGCCATAACTAATTAATAAAATATTGTCCTGGATCACAAAAGAAGAAAAAATATTTTTGTAGACTGAAGGAAATTAAAAATGAGAAATAACTTAAACAAGGAAAAAGAGAAAAAAAAATCCAAGTTAATACTTTTGAAGAAAAACACAAAAAATATTAATCCAAGATGGAAAAAAAAAAAAAGGTTTTACCACAAAGGAAAAACCTATTCCTTTGTGGTAAGAACCTACCATATTTTATCCATTTTTATATGTTGTTCATTATTCTTATAAACTTAGGTAACAATGTCTATAACATTTTGTAAGTTTTTTAATTCTAGAAAAAAGCTGTTAAAATTGGCAGGTCATCAATGGTACAGACAAATTAATAAAAAGCCATACAATTTTTGAAACAACTAGACAAACAGCTGAAAATCAGATTGTGTCTAAGTTTATTGCTCAAAGCACTAAATTCTTTTACATACAGAGAGATTATTTACTTATTTAACAAAATGTAACTCAAAATGGACATGACAGTAAAATGACTTATCACGAGAAAATAACAGAAAATTAGTTATGCTGAGTAAAACACCAGCAGATGATTGCTGATGTGAAACCTGTGAAAATGGTAGCCCTTTTACAGACAATAAAAAGATATTTTATCAAAGAAGGATAAAAATTAAATGGTTGAGATCTGTGTGCAAAATTAAAATGAAACAAACCATGATAAAAATGATGCGTTTACAAACAAGAATTGGCATAGTAGAATGGTAGAATAAGATTCAATAAACTTGATAGAATATATTGTTCATAATAGTTTCAATAGAATAATAAGAGACTCAATAGAAGATATAGCTCAACCGATTTCCACCTTCCATTTTTGGTGTGATGGACTGGTGTTACTATTAAAAATGGCAAGTTTACAGGAAAATTATTAGTTAAAGTTGTGATTTGAAAAAATTAAACAGTTTTTTAAAGCAGCTGATTGGCTGTGTGACATTACCTAGATGCAGAAGATATTAAATCCCCATTTTATTCCCATATTATATTCATTTTATTCCCATATTATATTCATTTTATTCCCATATATTATATTCCCATATTATATTTATTGCTATATTAAAATATTAAATCCCCATTAAATCCCCAGAAGATATTAAATTCCTAATTTAGCTGAGAGCATTCATGAAACTTCAAAGATTTACCACATTATTAGATTGAACCCAAATTTATTTGACTTAAACTTAAAAAACACCTTCAATAAATTATCAGATGCTTTTAAACCATTGCTACGAGAAAAAAACTATAGAGAAGCAAAATGAAAAATAGATGTCGATGACAATAATGAAAACATTTTTTTTTATTTGTTTAAAAAAGTAAATACTATTTTCTTGTATTTTTTGTGTCCACTTTACACCACTATACCACTTTGATTAATTTGCAATAAAGAAATCATTTTTTAATATTGGCAAAGAACACTTTTGTAAATTAAAGTTAAAGGTCTCAAACTTGTTTGAATCGAAAATGCAGCTGTACCTTTATTAAATTTAGTAGAAAGCCCTAATTATAAATTTATGCATACTATTCCAACAAACTGTTCCATATTTTGACTGTGACAAGGATACTTTGGAATACTCAATAGACTGTCATAGACTTTCAATATATCTTTATTTGAAAAGACATTTAGCAAAAGTGGTAAACTATCTTCCTCAATGTCCAAATTTATCAATTCACTGTAATCTTTGGCTTCAAAATTTAGTGTTACAGTTAGTTTAAAATGTCTTTAGTGTTTGTAATTTTAGACTTTTAGACTGGCAATAGACTTTTTATTCTCTGTATGGAATCTCTGGACTTAGTATTCTCTGTATGGCTGCAGTTCTAACTACTTTCTTTTCTTCATTTACCATTATTATTTCTTATTATTAGAGCCAGATATCATAAATTTTGAGCACTGTCTATTGCCAAACAATGTGGTTTATTATGGAACCATCCTGATGCATAGCATGGCATAATTATAACTAAGTCAACAAGTTCCTTTGTTAGCATTACTGTAGAAATATATAAACGTAGAATACGGAGAGCGACCGAGTATGATAAATGTTTCTAGAACTTTTTTTTTAATTTGAAACCTGGTTGAATAGATAATCAGATACTGTAAAGATATTTTTGATTTTAATATACTAAAAATGTTATCAGCAAGTAAATAAAAAGCAACTTTTATTTTTTTTGAAAAGAACTACTGCTAAATCAATAAAGTCTACTATTATTTTTTTACCAATCTCCTTTAAATGATGTGGGGCTTCTATCAATCAACTCAAACACATGCTTAAATGAAAGTTCATTTAAATGGAGTTGACAAATAAGTCACTGGGTTGGTCTATCAAGTTTTATTTCTATTAGTTTTATCATTCCTCCAAAGTTACCAGTGTTTACTACAGTTGATTCACATAAATAAGCATTTAAAGAACCTGCAAGTTTCAAATATTAAATACAAATTTCATCAGTAATGCAACAAGAAGTTATCATGTATTAGATGATCTATATAACTATTGCTAAGTTCTCAAACTATTTTAATGTTTTTCTTTAACTGTCCCTGGAGTTATTATTATATTGTTGTTTCTTTTATCAAAACCAATACATTGTAATTTTAAATTTTCACATTTTTTCCCAATTACATTTTTTTTTCAAACATGTCTTTCTCATTCTACTTTTTTCCTATCAAGCACATTTGATTCATTTAATATTCCCATATCTTTTAGAGCAGCATTAATAATAGCAGCAGTTGCTCTGTAACTGACAAGATAATGATCTAACACAAGAGCCAGTTTATCAGATTCATAAGGCATTTATATTTAAACTGGATGCTTTTCCCATTATTTTACTTTTGAGAAAATTCCGCTTCAATTGTTTAAAAACTATATTTTATTTTGCAGTAACTACTCAGTAACATTCATGAGCAGTTGACCTTTTGCCTTTAGCATCGTCATTTCTTTTTGTAGGTATCATTGCTGTTAGAAACTTAGAACCTTGCCCAAATGTCCAGTTTTCAGTATTACTGAAAGTATGAAATATTGCCATATATAATGAACTGCTTTTTTATTAATTACTGAGAAATAAAATATATACATACTATAAAACTATAAAATATATAACATATATATACTATAAAATATATAACATATATATATATATAATAAAAATAATTTAATAAAATAATATTTACTGCAAATTGTACAAATTGTTTGAAATTTTATTGTAGCAAGGTAAATTTTATTGTAGCAAGGTAACATTGTTCAGATTAATATGGGATGTAAAATCCTATGTTAAAATTATAAAAATAAAAAAAATATAACTAAAAACTTAGAAATTAGTATTACATGAATTAAATGAAACAAAATTGTTAAGTAATTTATATTAAAAAATTTTAAAAAGTTTTTTCTTTGCAATTTGTGTGTACAAAATTGTGGTGTATTTTGCAATTTGTATACAAAATTGTGGTGTATTTTGCAATTTGTGTGTATTTGTGTACAAAATTGTGGTGTATGGTGTATGTAAATTTTTTTATATACTTCATATAATTTATTATATTAATTCATAACCACCACAATGTGCTTGTCAAATTTTAAAAAAGTTATGACAACATAAAAGTGAAAGTAAAAGGGTGATGATGATGAACATGATAATGTTTTTATATAAATAAACATTCATATATGTATAAAATATAACATGAATTTTAAATAAAACAAATTATATTTTAGAACTTATCAATGCAGCCCTGTCACCAACTGCGCCCTAACTTTTTTTTTACCAAACCTGACCCAGTCCTGATCCTATTCAAACCCTAGTTGCTTACTAGTTGTTCTTACAAGAGTTAAAATAAATATATAATTTTAAAATAACAACAAAATACAAACAAAAAATGAAAAGAAAACTAAATAACTGTCATATCTTACAAGAGAAAACTCATCTTGATCGAGAGATCCATCATGATCAATATCTGATAAATCCCAAATCTTTTTTTTTTTTTTAAAAAAAATCAAATTACAGTTGCATTAGAAAAAATTATAAAAAATAAATTTAAATTAAAATAAAAATTTAAAAAACAAATATAAAATACAAGTATTTAATACTTTTATAAAACAAAAATGTACCTTTCCAAGGGTGTCAAAAGGTAACTTTGAATTCATCAATACCTACAAATAAAAAAGATAATTTAAAATAAAAGATAAAAAAATTTATACATTAAGTTATTCTAGCTTCTGATAAAAAACCTTGACAGATTTTTCTACACAACTTAATTTAATCCCATGTTTCTAACTTAGTACAGGAGATAAAAAAAAAAAAACATTAAAAATGTCAGGGCTGGTTTTCCTGCTACTGGTAACATGTAACCCAGTACAATCTGCTTCATGTCATGCTGCCTTGTAGGTAGTGCCTTTTTAGTCAAAAGCTAGGAGATGCTAACTCTGACATAAAACACCCCCTACCTTGGGGCTCTTGGTTGAGTAAAGGCTAGAGATGGTGTCTTGATAAAAATACTTATCTTGGGCAGATGTTTAGAGGCCGGGTGGTAGTCAGGTTTCCCAAACTCTGTGGTAGCTCTCAGAGAGGCCGATTCCATCAACTAAAAAATATAAAAGTATTAACAGTGTTTGATGTTATTTCTGATCGTATTGAACAAGCCCTCTCTCTTTATCCATCAGCCAATATTGTTGTTGTTGGTGACTTTAATGCTCATCACACTGAATGGTTTGGCTCTAGTGTCAGTGACTCTGCAGACATTAAAGTCCATAACTTTTGCCTTTCTCAATCCCTTACTCAAATAGTCAACTTTCCAACTCGCTTTCCAGAAAACCTGAATCATTTACCTTCTCTACTCGACTTATGTCTTGTTTCTGATCCTAGTCAGTGCTCAATTTCTCCACATTCACCCTTAGTTGCCTCTGATCACAGTTTGATTTCTCTAAAACTATTATCTCATTTTTCTTTATCATCAGAATCCCCCTATCATCGTACATCTTACAACTACCTTAAAGCTGATTGAGATTCTTTCCATGACTTTCTTCATGATGGCCCTTGGGTAGATATCTTTCATCTTCCTGTTGAAAAACGTGCTTCTTACATAAATTCATGGATTCAGGCTGCCATGAAATCCTTTATTCCCTCTCAAAGATTCCAGGTCAAGCATCACTCTTCTCCTCACATTGTGCTGCATTGTGCTGCTGCAATTGCCAATCAAAATTGTTACTTCCATATCTATCAGCAAAACACTTCTACAAAAAACAGACGCCTGTTTATTACTGCTATTACTGTTTATTACTGCTAGAAACCATTGTAAAAAGGTTTTGTCTAACGCCAAAGCCCGCTATTCTCAGATCATGAAATCTCGTATTTCATCACAAAAGTTAGGCTCTCCGACTTCTAGAGAATCTTTAATAGTATCAATAATAAGGGCAAGTCTGTAATTCTGATTGCTTGGAGGGGACATTCGAGCTTAAAAAGAATCTCACTTCTGTTACAGCATGGGGCTCACAGTGGCTGGTGAACTTTAATTCAGATAAAACTCAATTTTTTCAGCCAATCGTTATTGCAATAATTTAGATCTTCCTATATTTATGAACAATAATGTATTCGATGAGTAATCTACCCTTCATCTTCTAGGATTAACTCTTACTTCCAATCTTTCTTGGAAACCATATATCAAATCCGTTACAAAATTAGTATCTGCTAAAGTTGTATCTCTTTATTGAGCTCAACACTTTCTTACTCTGGATTCTCTTCTCTATCTCTATAAATCTCAAATCCGACCTTGTATGGAATATTGTTGCCATATCTGGGGCGGATCTTCTAATGATGCCCTTTCTCTTTTAGACAAGGTGCAAAAACAACTGTATACATAGTTGGGCCTGCTCTTGCAATCAACCTTCAACCATTATCACATCGTCGTAATGTTGATTTTCTTTCTCTTTTCTACAAATACTATAATAACCACTGCTCTGAAAAACTAACGCCTCTTGTGATAACTACTAAAATTCATTCTCATTTTACTTGTCATTCAATTAAGTCTCATCCTTTTTCTGTGACTGTTCCTAAGTGCTTTAAAAACTCTTATTTATCTAGTTTTTTTCCTCGAACTTCAGTTCTTTGGAATTCGCTTCCTTTCCTGATTCATATAATTTGCTATCTTTTAAGTCATCTGTCAATCGTTATCTTGCTCTATAATCTTTATTTTTTCTCTTCCAGTAACTTCCAAATCTAATTAATGGTTGCTTGCAGCCTTGTTGGAAGCAAAGATGTTTAAAAAAAACAAAACATTTTTGTTATGATTTTGTAACATAAAAATGTAAGAAGATACTTACAGGTTTGACTACTTCTCCAGTCAGAAATCCATTAACAGGTTTTAAGCTCTGTAGTAAAAAAAAAAAAATTTTTTTAAATTTCATTAATTTTAAAACTCTTTATCTAGAAATTATTATAAGAAATTTTAAACTAAAAATTAAGTCAATTTACAAGTCAATTTACGTCATTCTTCAAATTTTTTTTTGGGATTTTTATATTAAAAAAGTTATACTAACTTTATATATTCTATATTTTTAAATATTTTTAAAAAATAGAAAGTTTCTTATCATTAGAATGTAATTTTTATTATTTTAGAATTCAAAAAACTCAAAACATTAATTTTAATGTATTATTTTTTAGATCCCTCCTATTTAATTTTTAGAGACCCTCCTATTTAATCTTTAGAAAACCTCCTATTTAGTTTTTAGATAACTTCTTATTTAATTTTTAGATACCCTCCTATTTAATTTTTAGAGATGTTTTTTCTTTGTGGTAGTATTGCAATAAATACATTTGATCTGCAAAATAGCCTAGGTCATATGTCATAGATAAATAAACAAATTATGTGTTAGATGATTTTCTAAAAGATGAATGTTATTCTGCTATTCAGTCATTCAGTCATTCAAAAAATTTAAAAATCTTAAGAATTTTCTAAAATAAAAAACTTGGGGTAAAAATAAAAAACGTGGGGTAAAAATAAAAAACTTGGGGTAAAAATAAAAAACTTGGGGTAAAAATAGCTTGGATAAAACTTGAATAAAGCTAACCATTGTCTAATTTCATTTGTGTCTAGCCTATCCAAAAAGTAGATATTATTTTTTTATTAACAACATCAACATTAGGAGAAAAAAAAATTTACCTCAAACAGAGCATCATATTTTGCTTTTTCTTTTGGTTTAATACTCCAGGATGCAAAGTCAGATGTTTGAACATTTCCTACTGATGGCAACATTCCCTAAACAAGTTTCAAATGATTTTAAAAGTCTTAATACACTTAACTTAAAATAATTTTAAAAAAATCCAGGGAATATTATCATTGTTGATATTTTTAAATATATGTTTGCACTTATCTAATTATAATTATATTTTAACCATAGACAGTTTTATTTCAAATATAACCCAATTGTTAATCCTGAATCATGTAATTTTTATAAAAATATAAAACATATTCTTTGCATCACCTTAATAATTCTCTCAATAAAAAAATTATGAAACTTACATCTCTCAATAAAAAGCTTTAAAAAACCTTGCTGTTACAAAATTTTCTTTATGATCAGTGAAAAGATTTAAGTGACAGATTTAATATTTATTAATCAAAACAATTTTATTAGGTTATTATCTATTTAGGTGTTGATTTAATTAACTGTGTTATTCTCTCAATAAAAAGCACAATTTGCATCTTCTCTATGATCAGCTAAAAGGTTTTAATGAGTTGCCACAACCAGGTCATTTTCTTTGTTCTTATTGCCAGTAAATAATTTTCTTTGTTCTTATTGCCAGTAAATAATTTTCTTTGTTCTTATTGCCAGTAAATAATTTTCTTTGTTCTTACTGCCAGTAAATAATTTTCTTTGTTCTTATTGCCAGTAAATAATTTTCTTTGTTCTTACTGCCAGTAAATAATTTTCTTTGTTCTTATTGCCAGTAAATAATTTTCTTTGTTCTTATTGCCAGTAAATAATTTTCTTTGTTCTTATTGCCAGTAAATAATTTTATTCAAACTCTTACTATTTAATTTTGAAAACCAATTAATAGTTAACTAAAAAACCAATTAATAGTTAACTAAAAATCTTCATTACTAGTTCTTGTTAACTATTTTCTCTTCTTTCCTATTTTATGCTGATTAACTATTTTCTCTTTTTTCCTAGTTTTTGTTAATTAACTTCTTCTTTTCTTTCCTAACTATCTTCTCTTCTACCCCAACATGAATAGTTTTTGATTTTATACATACAAAAAAAAAAAAACTTTAAATAGGTTAAAGTATAGCTATAAACCAAATTTTGAATAAAAGTATTTTATTGAGATGAAGGTAAAATAAAAAATAAATTTTAATTAGAAAAGAAATGAGTTTAAATAAATGTTTTTACAGAAACAAATATTTTAACATCAAACCTTATACTGACACCAAAGTTAATAATTTTATGCAATAGAGAGCTGGTGTTTGTAACTAAAAAAGCATAATAGAAGGTTTTTGGTTATAATTTAATGTTTTCATTGTTAATCTTGTTGTTAAGAAAATGCCTTAAATGTTTGCTAGCCATATTTTTTAGATACTTTGAACATTAAATTTTTTTTTAAATTAACTAAAAAGTTAAAGTTAATCAAAGTATTATTAATTTTAAATGATTCGATAGTTTTCATTTTATTTATACTAATGCCCCCTAAACTTTAAATTTATTAGTTTTGAAAAAAAAAAAAATTTTTAGTAAACCAATTAATAGTTAACAAAAAGTTTTTATAACAAAAAGTTATTTTAACTTTTTGTTAAAAAAAAATTATAAGTTAAATTTTTAAAAAATCTGAAAATTGAAGAAAAAATTCTTTTTTATCAATAAAATTAATTTTCCTGACGATCAGTTTAAAAACTATTGTGCTGATTCAGTTTAAAAATTAATATAATTCAGTTAAGTTAAATTAAGAATTTTGTTACAGTTTTTTTAATTATTATGGTTTACTACAGTATGTTAACAATTTTAGACAAAAGATAAAATATTTCTTAAACATTATAAAAAATATATTAACAAATGTAAATATTAAAAACTCAACATTATTGCACGATATTGGCAAAACAAAAAAAATTTACACTAGATATTTCTATAAGTTATTTAATTCAATTTATAAAGAAAAATTTAACAAAAAAATTCCAAATTCAAGAAAAATCACCAAAAACAGCACCACAATCAACAAAATCAACACCACATATTTTAAATTGATCAAAAGAAATTCTAGAAGAGATACCCAAAGAATAATCTCAAAAACACATTAAAAAGCTAACCAAATTTTTAGATTCGTGAGATTCGATACCCACATCAACTGACATCTGAAGCGCCTTGAATACAGTATTATTTCAAATGTTGTATTTGACAGGTTGAAAAACATTTTTTTTTAAATTAATGTAACCGTGAATATAGAATATAAAAAATATTATAAACAAATATTTTTAAAAATACAAAAAAAAAAAAAAAGATTAAACTGTAAACCATGTTTGGAGGAGGAGTAGGTGTATTAATGAGCTTTAACGAGACTTCTTTACCATTTTGAGCAAGAGCTACCAATTTCAAAGCAACATTAAATTTCTAAAAAGATAATATACAGTAATATTATTATATAGCATATAGGTTATATTTTAAAATTAATATAATAAACTGTAAAAGTAAAAAAGAGTGTTAAGTGGTTACTTTTAGTTTGGGTTTATTTTATTTTTATTAAAATACAAAGGAAGGTTTATTATTGTAATAAATAGCTTCTAAATTTTAAAATATTTTAAAAAATGAAACTTTAAAAAAAAAAGTATTTAAGTTACTTAAAAAAAATTTATTTTATCATATTCACAAGTCTAAAAGCATTATTTACAACAATATTGTTGTAAGATACAATGTAATTTAGATAAATTCAATACGCTTAGTTACTAATGTTTTTTACTTCGTTACAATTTTTTTGTCAGGTCAGGTGATGGCTATCATGATCACCCTTTTTTGTCTTTTATATAGTTTGAGGTATCTTAATTACTGTGTTAACACAATACCTAAGATACTTCTAACACCTCTACCGAAGGCTAACACAATACTTTAGACACCTCTGACTATGTAATACTACAGGTGAGCTAACCTGTGATTTACTTTAGATGCATGATTATGTTCTATCTAAACCTCTGGTACAGTGTTCACTTACCAATAAGTTGCTATATGTATGTTTGTGTTTTGTTTGAAGCTCTAGGACTATGTTTATTTTTTTTGTGGCTATTATTACTAATAAGTGTTAGATTGCGTTATAAAAAGACCTGGTTTTTATCAGCATTTCAAACAAAGGTTAAATGTTTAGAAAAATATAAAACAATTAATGGAAAAACCCAGGTATTATAAATACTTAACTAATATTATAATTATTATATACCAAGTTTTGTTTGAAATAAAAATTTTCCTTATAACTTGTAAAACTAAAGTGTTAAACCTTAGTGCTGAAAAATACACACGTTACTATTTTAATTAAAAAAAGAAAGGTTATACCAAATAATTTAAATTAAAATATTTTTGTTCATACAAAACAATAATATAAAACACAAACCAAGTTCTTTTTTTAAGATTTTTTTTTTTTCTTTGTTTAAATTAACTTTCATGCTTTGAAATCACCTTTTTAAATAAATTTTGAGGCTGATTTTAATGATAATGTTTGCACTTTATTATCCAAAATATTAATACACATTAATATTTTGCATAATAAAAATTTATCAAATTAAAATTTAAAATTTAAAATTTCAAATCAGATGATTAAAGAATTTAATTTGTGAAAGCATAAATAGAATGAATAAAAATTTGTTTATTGATCATTTAAAAAACATAGTAAAATAACACTTTACAGAATATAGTAAAATAATTTTTTAAAGAATATAGTAAAATAATTTTTTAAATAATATTGTAAAATAATTTTTTAAAGAATATAGTAAAATAATTTTTTTTTACGAAAAAGCCCTTTAAAGATAAAAAGTTCAAGATCCATGCAGGATTCTCGCATAGCTCCTGGGGCCAGCATGCCACTGGTTTTACCTAAAAAATTTAGCCCAAAAAATTTTTTTAAACATTTTTTTAAATATGAAAACAACTTGTCTTGCAGTTAGGGACCCTTTTAAAGTTAAAAATAGTAAGAAAGGATTTTCATATCAAAATTTTATAAATCTTTTAATAAAAAAAAAATATGCTATTAAGATGATGATTTTATATTAAAAAAATTTTTTTTACAACATTGCAAAGAAACACTTTAGGATATTCTATAGAAACACTTTAGAAATTTCTTAATAGGTTTCTGTGGTTAATAATTTCTTAAAAAAAAAAACATTTTTCACTAATTCAATTATTCACTAATTGCTATGTAAATGAAACCTAAAGTTGAAATCTCAAGTTTAACATCTGATCTTTTTATGCGGTCAAAATATAATAAATTCAAAATGATAAAAAATGAATTTGAATAGACTAGGATATAGTTCACCTCACAAATTTCCCATTAGACTATTTAAAGTTTTGTTTTTTAAATCAAAAATTTTTAATCAAATACTGTGGTAAACCATAATTTTTAAGTTATCACATAAGAAGTTATTTAAAAAGGTGACTTTAAAGCATGAAATTTATTGTTTTTATTATAAAAAAAGACAATAAATTACATTTTTTTTGTGTGAACTTTACTTTTTAAATAAAAACTGGAGTTTAAATTAAAAAAAGATTTTTAATAACCAATTTAAAATATTTAGTTTTTTGTATAATTAACAACAAACAAATTATACATTAGAAGCACACGGATAACGTCATACAAAAACAGAAAGTTGAGGGGGCTTAAGTACATACATCAACTATCTTATTGCCTGCTGTAGCAAAGGAGTGCTGCTACATCAACTGAGGGTTTGGCATGGGGCAGCATTTTTTTTTTCATTATTTTTCATATTTTCCTTCTTATTTTGAAAAATTCAAGTGCCCATTTGTGTGTGTACTACTGCAAATACTGCTATATAAACTGGTACAAGTGCTGAACCAAATTACAAAATAAACTCAGAATAAAAATATCTTAATTTAAATTATTTATACTAATAAAATTTATGTACAATGAAAATTAATTTACCTGTTTATCTAAACAACCTTTGTTATCACTATCTGAAATTTCCCATATCTAAAACAAAGTTACCATCATTATTATATAATGCAACATAATTATTATAAATTTTAATTTTAATTTTAGTTACTTTATTCATTCCCAATAAGGCTGACAATAAAAATTATATAGATAAAAACAGAAAAGACAACCAAAGCAGGATAAAAGTTAACAGAAGACTTGAAAAAACAGCAAGAGTTAAAGAAACCAAGAGAAGCAAAATTTTAATAAAAATTCTAAACTGTAAAAACACTTAATGACATATTAAGACTTAGTGAGTGGAACAATTAATAATAGCTCTTAAGAACAACTATTAACTGAAACTGAACCTTTATCTAACTATTTTAAATCTAATAATTGAAAGTATTTAGTAAGTAGAACAAACTCTTTAAAACAACAACTATAATTGTAACTGTAAAAAAAGAGAAAGAAAACCAACATTACGTTGTTTTACACAAAGGTATCTAAAGCAAGCCTAACAACATTATTGTGATAAAATTATTTTATTTATTTAAAATTCAAGGCCAACTCAAATGGAATTTTCAGCTGGTTAGTGTATTTTTATTTTATTTTAGAAATTGGTAAAATTGATTATACATGGTATTTCCTAATATTCATAATTTAAGTAAATAAAAAAATATAATATTCATATAATTTCATAATTAAAGATTAATAAAAATCCTATTCAATCCATTTATAATTTTTGTCAAATTATATACAAAGTTTTATCATAGTTTTGAAAACTATTGCAAATTTAAAACATTATTAAAAATAAAAAAGATAGAAATGGTAATTTACTAATAAAATAAAACTTTAAAGAAAATTGCAATTTTGAAACTGTTTTAAAAACTTAAAACTTATTAAAACCGTTGTTTTCTGCTATTTAAGTTTAATTTCGCCAATTACAATTAAAATCTAAATTAATAAAAATTTTCCCAGCTTATAGATCATAAAACTGGTAAGTTAAGCTATGCAATGAAATTTTTTCAAAACATCAAATACTATGTAAAAATGTTAGCAAGAAGTTTTAAAATAAAGTAATAAAAATAAAAAGTACAAAGCAAACATTTTCTTACGCAATTTATGTAAATTAAATATATAAAAAAAGAAGTCAAGTAAAAATTTTATTAAAAACCGTTTTTTGAACATTTAATTTAGAAATGAATTTATTTAAATTAAAGATGCAATTTTTAAAAAATTTAAATTAAAATGCAATTAAAAAAAAATTGAAAATTAAATACAAAAAAAAAAACATTTTAGAAATTCCTTTCTCAGATTTGTGTGCCTTTTAGATTAATTCTTTTTTTGAAAAAAAACTTTAGGTTTTTTGCAGTTAATATTTGACACCGTACAAAAATTTTTATTTAAGTTTTGAATTTTTCTTTTTGCAGTTAATTTTTGACAACATTATTTGATAAAAAAATATTCAAGTTTATATTAGTTATTTTTATTCAATCTAAAAATTATTTGTATTTGGTTCAATTAAAGGTTCTGCACTTGTTGGAACTTGTTATATTTTTTTAGTTTGTTTATTATTGAAAGTTTAGTGTTGTGTAAATTTATGTACCCTACCTTTTTATTTTAATTTTAATTTCAAAGTTTAAAAAAAAAGTTTTAGCCAATCATTGCTTTTAATTTTCTCATTCAGTTAAACTTTCGAATGTGATAAAAAAATTTGAATTAAAATTCTACCAAGTTTTTATTTATTTTATATACAACAAAAAACAAAATGGTTAATGTAAATCATTATTTCAATCATAAATTTAAAACATATTAATCAAAAGTGGGTCAATATTAAAAAAAAAAAATTATTGACTATTCGATTGTCTGTCTATCACTGTAAACAAGGTCATTTTTAACACGGTTTCCTGAATCATAACTGTAAATTAATATAATTAAATATAAATAAAGTATACAAATGTTAAAAATATAAATAATATGATTTACAAAAAAGTTTTTCCACCATTTTCAGTTATTTCCACCAATTTCAGTTAATTTTTTTTTAATTTTTGTTAAAGATTTTAAGATTAAAAAAGAAAGTATTGTACTAAATCTAAATAAGATATAAAATTTTTTTAACAAATATTCTCTATTATATAAATATTTCTTATATCTGTTTATACTTATTTTAAATAAAATAAGTTATTAAACATACTTTGATCTATTTTTATAATAAAAGTAAAAAAGAGGTATTCTTAGAGTAAATACAGTTTTAAATTTCTATAATTTTTTTTTTAATTTAACTTAATAATTAATTCAATAGTTTCTAGTTATTAAAAAGCGCAAATTTTTTTTAACACCACAGATGAAAATATGGGTAAAACCAATCTAATTGTGTATGCTTGTTAACATATAAATTATATATATATGGAAACCTATTTATCACATTGAGTTTAATTTCCGTGGCACAATATAATGGATATATATAGAATGGATATCATATTCATCTTTAACCTGGTCCCATGTTTATTATGTGCTGGAAAGAACTTTTTTTTTTTAATTTTAGACCCAGTGAAGCAATGGTATGAAGCAAGAGAAGTGAATATATGAGAAGGGAGAAGGAGGAAGCCAACATTATTACAAATTCCCTTTTTTGTAAAAATTCTGTATAAAAACGGCATGTTTTTTCAATTTAATTTTAACTTCACAAATTTATTTGAAAATTTAAACATTTCTTTTTATTAGCATAACAAACCCAGTCTTTGAAATTTTTCTTTATTTGTTAAAAAATTTTAAGCTATTTTTAAAAAATTTTTAAAATTTAAAAATTAAATTTTAATAAAAATTTTATTTTTAAATTTTAATATAATTTCTTCTTTGAGTTGAGGATTATTTATTTAATTAATTATTTAACAATTATTTTAGAAAAATACAAGAAAGAAATCAAGTCAATCTTTTTAGAAAAATACAAGAGGGAGATCATTTGCTCTTTAGTGTGGCAACTGTCATTTAACATAAAGAGGGCTAGTTGAATTTTTGGCTCAATTTAACGATTTACAAGAAGAAACTTGTTATCTTTTTTGTTTTGCTAAATATATATATTAAATATAATTGTAAAGGCACAACCTACACATTTCATAAACATGTTACAGTTCTTATAATACATTCTATAATATAAACTTGTACATAAATTGGTTGTTTTTTTTTATCAAGTCACTTTTAACAAAGTTGCAAGAAACCACTATTAAACTATAAGTAAATAAAAAAATAATATAATAAAAAAAAGTATGGGTTAAACAGAAAGGAAACAGCTATCTGAAGACTTAAAAAGTTGTAAATCATATGAGTCAGGAAAACATGAGCACAAGGTAGAAATAGATAAATAAAAACTTTTTATAACATGAAGGGTCAGATAAAGTAAATAGATGCAACTTTGGTGAATGACAAGTCAAGTAAGAATGAGTTTTGGTTGATCAAACTAAAATTAATAGTTAGTTTCATCAGCAACTATCATAGCATATGTAGAAAAATAAAAGAGATACAACATTAAGACAATTGGAGAGTTACTCAAGTTTGGCAAATATAGCAGGTCTAACTACAATTTCAATATGCTTTTGGACCTTGGTTTTTTTTTTTCAATATAGTAATATCAACAATATTACCATAACTAAGTGACATAACATGCCATTTTTTCAATATGTTATTTTCCTACCTCTAAGCACACCATACAAGGCATGTAGAGAGGTAGAAGTAAGAAAACTTGGGAAGAGTGAGTTACATACGGTATATATACCATCAGGATGTAAACTAGCCCTGTGGCACCCCATCAAATGCATTTTTCCCAAATGCTCATAAATTTAAAATTTTAATTTAAAGATGAAAAAATCCCATTCTCCAAATAAAGTTTCCAAATTAAAGTTTAATATTAATTCTAAAAATAATTTAAAATTAATTATTATTTAAAACTAATAGAAAAATAACATTAAAAAATTCTAATTCACTAATTGCATAAAACATGAAATCAAATCGCAATTATTGGTATAAAAACACAATTGCATAACTACGAAAATTGGTTTCTTGGAAAAAAACATCATGAGAATTGGGATTTTTGGATTTTTGAGATTTTTGTGGCAACTTGCAATAAAGTTTGAAAATCAAACATTCCAACAACAGCAAATATTATATAAAAAAGCTAGCAAGAAATAAAGTACTAATCTAAAAGATCCAAAATAATAAAAAACTTGTTTGGTTTAACACCTGCAAATGCTATTTCTTTAAAAGTGTTGCCCTAAAAAGTTAAATAACTTATTAAGTCTTACCGTAAACTCAACTTTAAGTAGTACATGTACTTTGTCAACAAAAACATCAAGAAGGTTATGTCAGATACCTTTTGATCAATTACGGTTACGGAAAGTCTTTTAGTTATTGTTTTTCTTTTTTTTGTTTGGTATTTTATATCAACTGAATTTGCTAAAGTTTTTTACTTTTTTACTGGTATTCTTCGATGCCACGCATGCAATCGCTTGCTAATAATATTACTCTATAATTAAATGACATTTGTTGTTGTTTTTGCTGAGACTTTGTGATTATAACTTTATTTCCCTATGCGATTTATCTATAAAATAAATTATTATTAATTATAAAATTGCACTCCCAATAAATGTGAAATATGAAATATATGAGCTCGTGTTTTTTTAAAACCTTATCTATTTTCAAAAAATTTCTTTTGATGACACAATTTATTACATGATGATGTAAGGGTTCGTTCGTAAAGTCATCGAGCAGAATTTAAATAATAATTAGAAGTAGAAGATCATTGGCTCATTGGAGATCGCTATTTTACTATATTACATTGAAAAAGAAATATATATTCAAAATAATTCTCTTGAAATGAAAGCGGTGACAATATATAAAGATTAAAAATTAATCAAATTAATTATTCTCAATAATGTCAAGGTCAGGTCAGGTTAACCTTAATGTCAGGTCAGGTTAATAATCTCATAGGTCAGGTCAGGTTAGGTTAATAATCAGCTCAGGTTAATTATCCGGTTAATAATCAGGTCAGGTCAGGTTAATAA